TTGATTTATATACCACCCATCTAGAACATGTGACAAAAGCTGTTCCCACAGCTATAAATACTCAACAGCAACAGAGCATGGACAGAGTTCCTACTGTAGTCGAGTCTCTATGCCAGCCATAGAGACTGGTGAAACGTCAGGAAGAACAACCTTCAGAACACGGCCAAAGAGCCCGAAAAACCCACGACAACCAAAAACAAAACAAGCAAAAGTCTACAAGATATGGTTTGAAAGGATTCCCTTGACATATTTAGAATCATAGTATGTTTTGCAGAGGAGTTGGATTCATGATTGGAAAGAAGTGATTGAGGGTTAAAATCTGTTCAAAAGGAATAGGCTAAATAGGAAAGAAAAGGAGTAGTACTACATGTAAAAGATATATGCATACCTATGAGAAAACCTATGATTTGTAGCATGAAATGCTGGTTGAGAACATTTGTATAAAAATTACAGAAGAGGGAAATGAGAGAGTCATAATGGTGACTCAGACATCCAAGACGTGGATGATGTCCTTCTAGATCAGATAATCAGACCTTGAAATGTAATAGAAGATACTGACTCCTCTGCTACCTACTGGAAGTTAAACCTATTAGAACTCAGAATTAAGGTCTAACCAATTTCTTCATTTTCCAGAAAGTAGAAGAAGCAACAAGAGGATAGCCTATCTTGGGTGTGACCCTTACCAGCAAGGAAAACTGGTCAGCTTCTGAAAAAACAGTGGGCTTACCTGATCCTAAAATTGCAGTGCTCTTACTATGCTAGTGGAGATGGAGTCTGCTAAGAAGAAGTCTGTTATTTGAACATAATATCTTTATTTTTTATTTTTTTATTTTTTTGGCAGGAATATACGTTTGTGCCCTGGCACCTCCTTTTCCTCTCAAAACAAGTAAGTTGGTATGGTTACTGTCACTGTTTCATGTCCATTCTTGGGCAGGATGTTCACATGCATGGGAACATCTCAATTCCATTTTTTTCCTGGATAGTACAAATTACTTAAATTCATTTCATTCTGCTTATGATTTGATTAAGGGACATAAATTGTTTTGAGTGCCTTGGTAGATGGTCTCCATCAAGCCCTGAATGAAGGAACTGCGTCCCTGTTAGTTTTGCTTGATCGTCGGAAGTACTATCGGGTTTCAGGAAGATTTGTAATACTCACCAAACCTGTTGTCATTAGAATATGATAATTTCTGCTCTTGGTAGCTTCCATGAACTGCCATTTTGCTTTAAAACAAACAAAATTTCTCCCCAAAGGTTTTTTTTTCTTTCAAAAATTGGAATAGAGTTCAAGCCATTTTGCCATTTGAGACTGATGTGTCCTTTGAAACATTACGGGTACTGAAAATGGTTCTTGGAAATCCCTAGCCTGCCTTTTTCTGTTCCATGGGAAAGCACTGGGGTTGGTTGTTTGAGGTTTAGAGGCTCAGTGATGCCTATAGGATAAGAACACCCAAGAAAATATATATTCTGGATTAACAATGTTAATAATTTTTCAACTGAAGAAGAATGGGAGAGATGAAAAGATATGGACTAGGAGAACTCTCGGAATCACCTTATAGTAGCATCATCTGGAAACCCATTGTGATATACTAGCAATCTTTTCTTGTGGGAAGAAGATTGTGTTTGAGGTAAAAACAACAACAACAACAGCACCTGATCAAGTGCCCTGTAAAAGCAGCATCCCCAACCCAGTCTTTCAGGGGTTGGTTTAGGGAAAAGTTTGAAAATATAATACCACTCCCTGTTAAACTCCCTTATATTTGTCCCCATGAACTAGAATCTCTGCTCCATTGTTTTCCTGTCAGATATTAAATGTCAGTTCCATACAGTCTCATACAGAAGATTACATTTTTCTTTCTGCAACTCTCCCTTCAGGAACCATAAGCGAAGTTCTAGTCCATATCTTTTCATCTCTTCCATTCTTCTTGGGTTGAACAGTTGTCATTCACCAATTTCCATGACCACTTCTTCCCCATATGACTAAAGGTATAGAAACCACTTTCCAGTTGGACGTTACAGTATCTGATTGGTGGATTTTCTTTCCCAAATCTTATTGCCCGGGGTTAAGAGGAGTTAGTTCCTGGTAGCCCCTGATTATATACCTTTCTCATGATCCAGAGTAAATTGTGAGGGTGGTGGAAATAATTTAGGAAGTTATTTGGCCCGTTCATCAGGATGCATAAAGCTGCATTTCTCCACATGAGATCTATCCAGTGACTGATTTAACAGGTCTGTTCTGCTTGGGACTAGCATAGGGTACATTGAATTTGGCTGGCATGAAACAACAGGGAAGCATTTCATTTCACTCATGAGTGGTACCATTTCTTTTTCTTCTTTATAGAAGAATTATATTCACCCAATAGTTTGGAGAACGAAAATGATTATGATGATGCCAGTTTTGTGACTCCAAGGGTTCCTCAAAGTCAGAGGGAGTCCTCAGAAAGAGTTATTTCAGCTGTGAAAGAAGCAGGAGTCATGAAAAGCAAGGAAGGTAGGAGGAAGTTGTTGCAGCTTCTAGGCTCATCTGTTTGTCTTCAATAAAGCAAGAAGGATTTCATTCACCATGAATGAGCAGAAGTGGTTCTGAATGGGTCATTAATGACTGCCTGGGGACTTATGAGCTAAGCAGTTTGAAAATCTTGGGCAATCATGCCCTGGCAAAGGACATCATAGAGGCCTGAGATTAACCATTGTGGCTAATAGCTCTTGATATAAACTGTCTCCCAAGAAGGAACAAATAAATCCCTCCCAGTCCTGGTTGTAAGTTTACCTTGTTGAATTTACAGAGTTCCATAGGTTAAAACAATCAGGTTAGATTCATACAATTGCTAAAAGGTGAGCGCAACTTTTTAATGTTTAACTAATATGCACAGTATACATAGGCCGAATACAGCTTCATTAATCTTCCTAAGATTGTACCATTCCACATAATTTTACATTTGGGTGGCTTTCCACAACATCTAATGAACTGATATTACAATGTTGCTTAAGATCAAAACAGTTGTGATTTTAAGTAGAAATTGAAGGTAGAAGATTTTTTAAGCAGGAAAGGTGTTCATGTGTGGAGAAGCTAGCCATTTCAGTGCTGTTTTTCAAAGCCAGTCTGTGGAGATATCTCCTTGTTTTAAACAAATACAACCTCAGGGAGAAGCTTCAGTGGGAAACTGGAGTAATCCCGAAGTAGATCAGGGCTCCAAGGCTTGCTTTGTTTACAAAAAGAGAGGTGACCAGCTGTAACTATGTATTTAAAACGTGTGTTTAAAGTCGCAAGTACGTAATTTGATTTTTACTTACCAATCTTCTAGTTGAAAAGATTTAACTTAGAAACTTTTTTAAATGCTTTGTTTGCTAAAGTTAATTCTTTATTGAAATTTCAGTCTAACAAACATACCCTATTCCAGGCTAGGAAAAAACATATCAGACCTCTGGATTTCTCTGAATCTGATACTGTTTTCCCAAGTCTCAAATGCCTCTCAAGCTACCTAGTTATAATGGACATTTTAATTTTTTTCTTTCTTTCTAGAAAAGCTGACTGTCTCTCCTGAACCTGTTCCTCTAGGAAGTTTTATGTAACTCTTATAAGAGGAAGGTGGTGAATTCCTCTCTGCTGTTCACTCTTAAAAAGAAAACTTGATCTCTGGGGTTATTTAATCTAGCCTTCTGCATCCCTCTGAGTAGCCATCTTTCTCAAAACAGATCTTTGGGTACATTCTCCCCTGTAAGATTGTAATGGACTTTAGAATAGGGACAGGCAACATTGAGGACTGTGGGATTTACTTTCCTCTAGTCTTGTACTGCAGTGGGAGGGCCACCAATAGAACCCAGAGGCAAAATGGTGGCTTGCAGGGTAGAATGATAGGTAGGTTCAGAAGATGGTGCAACAAACTCCTGCATCACAGGTCCCATGCACTGAGATGAACTACATATGCAAACAGAAAAAGTTGTAACTACTTTACTGCATATTACACACTTCAATGAACTCATCTGGGAGCAGGGAAAGCTGATTGGTTGCTGGGAAGAAATTTTTCACAATCTACTGCAGATCCAAATCTATCTCTAGGTCATGATATATGCTAAGATCCTCCTTTAGATCATCACCAGTGCTTGTCACTGTTCAACAGACTGTTGATTCCTCATTTCTCTTGATATCCTAAGTCTAGAATTATACAAATTGGTTAACTGCTGCTTCTCATTATATTCTCTAATTCTTCATAGTTTTTAAATGTTAATATATAAAAGTCAGCATTTAAAAATACGTATAAGTTCTAATCTTTAGTTACATTGGATGGGGAGACTGAAAAATGAAAGATTATTGTCTAGATAATGTTTGTTACATTACTCTAGCACTTCTTCATTTCTAATGATCTGTTCCTCCTAATAAATGTTTTAATGGCTGCACATTAAATACTTCCTGTCTCCTTTTCCACAGATCCTTCTGTCTCTAAGTCTACAGAAAGGAAAGACCAAAGAAGTCTTCATGTGATCATTCTCTATGTCCTAGTAGCTGTATGCTTTGTGATGTGGGCAGGTCTCTTGTCTCTGTTCCTGTTGAAGTGTAAGTGATTCACGTCAGGCAAAACTAAGGCTATTTAAATGATAGTGTCAGGCACAACAGGGATTAGAACTGAAAACCTACAACAGCTTGGTGGACAGATGCCCCCTGTGTTGAGCTGCCAAATGGGAGCTCCTTCCTGACAGACCAACCACTGGGTCTCCTCAACAGCCTCTGACCCTAACCAGCTTTATCCTCTACCACTGCCTATAAATGGAAAGCCACATACATATGGCTCTGTTTTGATAGCTGCTTCTAATTTATGGGGGGAAATGTTAAAAATATTTTGCTGCTCCCCCATTTTAAAAAATTATACATTTTGCTACTTCACCTTCTAAGCTTCCCTGACTTGAGAAATAGTGAGAAAGATCCTGCGCTGATGGTTGTTGTAGGTTTTCCCGGCTGTTTGTCCATGTTCTAGAGGTTTTTCTTTGAGAATATCCTGCACTGAGTTAACATTTGCTATATTTCAATGAATCTGTGTTACCGGATAGGTTTTTAGGAACAAAGCTTTTGCCCAGACTAAAGTTTGTTCAACATGAGCCATCAAATGATCTGCAGGGAGATTGGGGCTCGAATTAAAGTTTATTCCAGCAGCACAAGAAAGGGGAGAAGCACCATGTTTTTGTTTCATTTTTCTTCTTCAGACACAGCAATATCAGAGGAGCTACATACTTTGAAAACCAACTATTCAGAGAAGCTGATCAGAGGTAGGCATGATGGTTCACAGTATTTATTTATTTGTTTACAATATTTGTACCCCACCTTTCTTCTTGAAAAGGACCCAAGGCAGCTTACAACAATGAAAGACAATATTTAAAGTTGAAAACAATGAGTCTAAAACAGTGGTTAACATCATTAAAATATGATATTTAAAACTGTAAACAATGAATAAGGAAGCATCTTACATAATTAGCAGGCAATATTAAGAAACAGATCAATAAGTATATTTTTTTAAAAAATGTCACTCTGAGAAATAGAAAACACAGATATTCCGTATTGCACAAGTAATACGAAATATCCAGTCAAAACAGAAATACATAACAATCTATCAAAAAAAATCACACACAAGTAGCTAGTAACTGAGGGAAGGCTTGCTTGGAGAGAAAGGTCGTATTACACAAGTAATACAAAATACCCAGTCAAAATAGAAATACATAACAATCTATCAAAAAATCACACACAAGTAGCTAGTTACTGAGGGAAGGCTTGCTTGGAGAGAAAGGTTTTTGCCTGCTTGCAGTAGATGCCATTTCCTTGCAAAAGCATAAAGGAAAAAAAGTTTTAAAAAGCCACACCCCACATTATTAATTGGGAGGAAGGTGGCAGGAAAGGAAGATGCCATCTATTGGATTTGGGCAAGATGTTTTAGATGATATTACCTGGTGTGGAGTAACTTGACATTTCATCCACCTCACAAAAGCCTTGTGCTTCTTACACTGGCATGGTGGTCCATTCATCCAGTGTCACTGCCTGAGGGGAACCACTTCACTTCCATCTATTGGATTTGGGCAAGATGTTTTAGATGATATTACCTGGTGTGGAGTAACTTGACATTTCATCCACCTCGTGAAAGCCTTGTGCTTCTTACACTGGCAAGTGTGACATGGTGGTCCATTCATCCAATGTCACTGCCTGAGGGGAACCACTTCACTTTGGCTGATGGGAGGGCTGCTCTTGAGTATGTGGAATGAAGGACAAGAGCACATGATCAATAGCAAGTAACACCTGCAACATGGGAGTGAAGGACATTATTTCCAGCATGCCATGATTACTCTGCTCTTATTGCTAGTCTTGGTCCCATAATATTAAGGATGATTTACTCCGTTCAGAAAACTGCTCCTTCAGGAAATCTTGGCAGGGAGCGGGGGAGAAGGGCTGTTTTATTTAAAAATGTGTTAAGTATTCAGGCTACAGAGTGATTCATTCTTTCATTGCTGCTACGGGAAGTCCAAATCAGTTTACACAATTCAATCAGCAGGGTTATTACTGTGTGGCAATACTGGCAACCTGAACACCCCATCTGACTGAACTTTGTGGACATTTCGATTTGCCTTTCAGTGAAGAAGTATGAGGATTATATAGGAAAAATGCAAATTGTTTTGGAAATGATTCCAAGCAACAACTACTATAAACTTAAGGAGATCGCAGGTAAGGCACAACTGGGAAAGTTCTGTATTTGGGTGATTTGAGAAGCAAGGAGGATCCCTATGACTGCCTTTCAATCTGCAAGTTTCCCCTGCAGAACAGTGTAGGAACAACCAGCAGGAGGAGTCAACCTACATTACATTCTGGTAAAGGTAAAAGTAAAGGTTCCCCTTGACAATTTTTGTCCAGTCGTGTTCGACTCTATGGGGTGGTGCTCATCCCGTTTCCAAGCCATAGAGCCAGCATTTTGTCCGAAGACAATCTTCCGTGGTCACATGGCCAGTGCGACTTAGACACGGAACGCTGTTACCTTCCCACCGAGGTGGTCCCTATTTATCTACTCGCATTTGCATGCTTTCGAACCGCTAGGTTGGCAGGAGCTGGGACAAGTGGTGGGAGCTCACTCCGTCACGTGGATTCGATCTTACGACTGCTTGGTCTTCTGACCCTGCAGCATAGGCTTCTGCGGTTTAGCCCACAGCACCACCACATCCCACTCTCCACCACGTCCCACTTGCATGCCTGTGCTTCCTGTCTCCAACCCAGGACAGTTGTAAAGAAAAAGAGCAAGATGGGGCCTTTAGGAGTGGAATGACAAGGAGTGATAGACAGGTAATACAGGAACAGGAAATAAACCTATGAATATGAGGAGGACGCTGACCTGGAGAAATCACTGTGTCACTGACCAAGCTTTGGTATTTGAATGGGTTACTATCTCAGGATGTGGGGAAACCCATCCCGTCGTCCCCCCCCCGTGCATTTGCCCAGTGAAGTGCAACTAGTTTGAGGCTTGACAAATGTTGTCCCTGTCAAGGCAGGCAGTGAAGTGTAGATGTCAACATAGGACAATTACCAGAATGATTAGTTAGGTATACTATATGTCTTGACTTTTGCATTTGTGGCCCTTCTAGAGAGATCAGAATACTTTAGCCAGTCTCTGCAGACATATATAGCCGTAAGATCAGAATGGAGAATGTATTGCTCCAACCTGCTTTCAGAATATTTACGAAACAGTGCCCCTGGGGTTCAATGTTGCTTAGTGGCCAAAAGTGAGACGCAAAACATGTAAATTTCCCATAGTTTTTGGAACCCAGGGGAATTATTTCCCCAGCCCACCTCACCTAATTGCCAGCAGTTTCTGTGTACTTCTGTAGCCTCTGTAAAGTGTTAATAAAGTTTTTTATCGCATTGACTTCTCAGCATCCCTCTGTGACAATGGAAACTCCTCTGTCTTTACTTCGTGCCCCCGAGGCTGGGAGAAGGAAGAGGAAAATTGCTATTACTTTTCAAAAGAGAAGAAAAACTGGACTGACGCTCAGTGGGACTGTATTAATCGGCAGGCTCATTTGGTCAGCATTTGGACTGATCAGGAACAAGTGAGTCCCTTTACTTAAACCATGATGCAGCATCTTTTTGGGTGAGGCATATGACTGTGGCATTCTTGCATTTCCGCTGCTGTTTGGAGAAGTAGGAAAAATGAAGAAGACTGGTTTTAAAGGAATGCTTGAGAAAGGTGGGACATAAATGTTTTGTTTTAAAAGTAATTTTTAAAAGCCACTGTTATTTTTCCTGATCAACTCTCATCCATCAAAATTATTTGTTATTATTCTGCTAGCAATAAAAGTGTGACACCACCATGCTGCATGCACTGTTGAGGTCTGCAGATAAGCTCATGAATGCAGAAGGCCATTTTGGGCTCAGTGTTGCTTGACAATGTTTTCTCATCAGTACTCAGAATGACTGTAATACAAGGAGTTATATTATACACAGATTACTGCAATAGATTGGTTGCCTTCAAATACCATAGTTGTCATTTGGTCTAAACGACAGCATCAAGATTGCCGACTTGCCAATATCATTGTGTCATATCAGTAATCTGCCATTCAAACTGCCTGCGGCTCAATTTTTAGGCTCAATTCAAAATGTTGATGCTAACCTTGAAGACCCTTAGCATCTCTTGGTCACTTTTTTTTACAGTTTGCTTCCTCCTGCATATACTTTCCTGGACTTCAAGGTCTTCTCCACTTGCCCTTGTCAAATGAGTTGCTGTAAGGGATGAGCAGCAAAAAAAGCCTTCATAGTAGAGGCACCTTGGTGTCTCATACTTGTCCGACAGCTACGCCAGTGGTTCTTAACCTTTGTTACTCGGATGCTTTTGAACTGCAACTCCCAGAAACCCCAGTCAGGACAGCTGGTGGTGAAGGCTTCTGGGAGTTGCAGTCCAAAACTCCTGAGTAACCCAAGGTTAAGAACCAGTGAGCTACACCATAGTCTTTTCCGCTGGCAGGTGAAGCCTTTTAAATTGCCCTAGGCTTCTCAATTTGTGTATTGCTGATTGAGAATCTGCCCACAGCTGTGATTTTGACTGACAATGAACAGATTTCTTTTCCTTTTTAGATCATCTCTATCTGTACCATTATCTGTAGCTGGTTTCATGCTGCTTACTTGCTTACTTTTGTTTTGGATGTCATGCTTATTGGGTTTTTTAAATACCATAAGGCTTTAAAATTTGCTTGCAACTGGCCAGAGTTAAGTTTGGCCATACTCAACATAGCACTTGCTAAACAAACAAACAAACAAACAAACAAACAAGGTAGGAGCTTTCTTCCTAATAAATATTCAGGATTTTGGTTGAAATAAGTACAATCTATTATACTAGGGGTGTTTTCCCCCCTTCCAGGGCTTTGTAAAAGATAGACTGAACAATGAGATTCATTGGCTGGGTATGACTGACCTTGAAGAAGAAGGAAAATGGAGATGGGCAGAAGGTGACCTGCTGGTATCAACAGCGTGAGTACATTTTGGGTAACAATTTTGGAGACTTTTTCAGTTTGACAGTTTATATTTTCCAGAAGCTTCAATAGGTGAAAGCAACCTTTGAGATATAACCACGGACAAGGGATATTTAAAAAACACTGGCTAAATACTTCACAGAACAATGAATTGACCATTAGGGCACAAACACCCCTCCCAGTGCTGCTTATATTTCAAAATCTGGGCAGTAAAGCAGCAACCGTTTTGTCCATGTTGTATAATTTATGTTGAGCCATTTGTATTTAAAGCATTATTTTGCACAATTTTATTTGGCACAAAAAAACCCTGACTTCTTCTTTCTTTTTGTAAATGCCACAAAATGCCTTGTCCTGTTGTGGTGTGAGAAGAATATTTTTGCAGCTTCTCTCCCACTTCCCTCCAAGGATTTATAGCCCCACCCTATGCTAGACAATTTTCAGTTCAATGGAAAAACAGACTCCAGGATGGTAACATAGTCAGCTTTTTAGATGCCAATTGCACTCACATGGGAAGCTCTCTTCTAGAATAATGTGAATAGCATGGATAAATTCTTGGTGCTTTATGAATACAGTGGACCCTTGACTTACAGACGGCTTGACTTACAGACTTTTTGACTTGAGAACTGCCTTCCAATACGAATTAAGTTCTCAAGTCAAGACCCCACTGTACATCTTTACAAGGTCAATTTCAGACAAAGCTTTTATGCTACCTTAACTTTTCTATATCCACTGTCTTTTAAACCTGCCTGCAAGTGCCATTATTATCAGTTAGCAAGCTGGAATTAAGTTGTAGCTTCTCTTAACAAGAAAAATATGAATTTTCCTTTCAAAGGTGTGATGAGTTAGAAGCATGGAGAAGACATGATTATTTTGGCACACACTGGGAAAAGAGCGGGAAGGAGGCTTGCTATTTTTAAAGTGTTTTTTTTTAAAAAAAAATAGCAACTTTGATTTCTATGGCTGATGGGTGTATGTGTGTGCTCATAGCACCAGCAACAAACCTTGTATTTGTATTAAAACAAGGAGGAAAGGGGGAAGGGCTGATTATAAAGGGCAGTTTTTAGATCTGGGCAAGGCTACAACTGTACAGTAGTTCAAACCCCAAAAAATGCAAGGTAAAAAGAAGGGGGCAGATTTCATCCTTTCTTTACAGACAAGAAAGTTTAAAAACAAAAGAACTGCAGAACATCTTGAGAGAACTGCAAATGCAATAGGGGAAAAAAGATGGAATACAGGTGAACAGAAGAAAAAGAAACAGTCCTTTCCCTGCCTCTTACCTGTGTCCTGTCTCACTGCTATGCATAGAACACAGCAGAATGCACCTTCATACAACAGAATTATGTGGAAAGGTAGTTATAGCTCGGATTGCAATTTACATTGGAAAATCAATGACTGGAATCCTATTAGTGCTTGCATACAGTTTACATAGTAATTGCAGCTAACTGATTATGTATGGGGCCATGTCTTGGTTTTGCCATCAGACATGTGACCAGGCTCACAACCCATATGAGCATCATCAGTTTTCCCCCAGCATGTCATTCATATCTTATGTGAACACCAGTAAGATTCTGGCCAAGGATTTCACGATGCTAGAGTCCTTTATCTGAAAGGTTTCCAAACAATGCAACAGACATCCGATGCTTAAAATACAATCCATCAGGATGAGATCTGAGGTCTTTCAGTATACTCTTCCCAGGAAGGTTCAAGAAATGGCAGTGAAGAGTTAAACAGAGAGTTACAGTTACTCAGATAATGATTCTGTACTTATGTACAAAAAACAAGCAGACTTCCTTGCAAGATCTTATATGAAGAATAAATTGTTCTGAACTTGGCTCATTCATTTGTAACTTAGCCAGAATAAGTCTATTTGTTACTCTAATGCAATGGAGAAAATGACAAGCAACATTAACATTCTGCAGAATTTGGAACAAATATTGTCATTCTGACTAATTGAAAGGTTTCTTGGCATCTACGAACATTTTAAATGCATCTAAATTGATTAATAATGGTGAATGCTCTTTTGCTATTACTAACCAAGCGTCTTCCAAGGATAAACTGTATGTGATTAGATGTGCATACAGTATTGCTTCTGAAGATGCCCATTAATTTGTTTAAGACTGCCCGCAACATGCCCCCTGTCTTGTGACAAGTGCTATCACACATTCCTAGCCAGTTTAAGTCAGAAGAGAGAAAACACTCCCCACAATATCGAACATATTTGCTCAGGAGCAGGAGAGTCTGCTAGCCAAGCTTTCAGTTTCCTGTCCACTAAACCTCAGACCACTGTTTCCTCTTCAATTCTCCTTAGCTGATAGCTTTAAATCTGGAATGTAAGTCAAGCTGTCCAGGGCAATGGAGAAAGAAATCTTCTTTTGATTGGGCCCTGTGCTTAATTTTTTTGAGGAAAAGAAACTTAATTTCCAAAAAAAAACAAAAAACGAAAAACCAACTACACCCCCCCACACACACACACACACCCCCCTTAAGTTATGCTAGAAACTGTGGAAGAGAATGTAGAGGTCACCATGGCCGACACCCTCCACACACACACACACACACCCCTTAAGTTATGCTAGAAACTGTAGAAGAGAATGTAGAGGTCACCATGGCCGACTGAGTGCACAGCTAGTCAAAGGAGTCAGAATGTAAAATGATGTTAGTGGGGTTTTGTGACACCAGGGGATTTGACCAGTTAGATCCTCTCACCTTTGGGATTCAGGGGATAGGTTAAGGGGAGAAAAGCGAGTGGGATTAATTAAAAAATTCCTCTATTTCTGGCAGACTTAATACATCAAAAGACTTCCCATTTTTGGATTGAGAAATTTCAAGAAAGACATGAGCCAGTAAATATGCAGCAACATATGCTAGCTTTCTTGGCCAAAGATGTGATAATTTCAAAGGCCCCACATGGGAGGAAGGCTTTGCATCCATTGTTCTTACTAGAGGACAAAAGCTGACTTTCATAGGAATCGTGGAGAGCTGCAGTGTGAATGCCCTGTATTGTTTGCATTTATTTCTGGAAGCATCTGCCTGCCTTCTTAATTTTACCTAAACCCCCAGATGGGTTCCATATGCTGTTCCCTATAGTCATGGCCATTTATAACAACCTGGTACTGTAAAAGAACTGAGGGATGTGGGGGATAAGCTATTAGGCAGTGGTACAGCACATGTTTTGCACCACGGAGGGAGCCATGTTAAATCCCTGTAATCTTCAAGAAGGGCTGGAGAAACCCTTGCCCAAAATCCTATTTAGGAGCACTGCCAGAATGTGCTAGGCCACAACCTTGGCACTGGCTGGCAGGCAATGTTTTTTTCCTGGAGTTGGGGCAGCTCCAATAGCTCCTTTTTCCCTGCATGGCAAGAGGCTTCCCCAACCTTAATGCTATCAGTAGCAGCAGGAAGCTTTCCAGCACTGGTCAACCTGTGGACTCTCTTCCAGAATTTGCATTAAAGAAGGACATGTCATTCAGGCAGTTCCATGCCTGTCTTCAGATAATCCGCAGTTTCCGCCCTAGAGAGACCAGCATATACCTATGATAAGCAGACAGATTGTGGCCATACACAGTTACCAAAATTAATTTTTTAGGTTTGACTAAGCCCTATTTACATCTCCATTTCTTCAGTAAGTTTTTTTAAAAAAATCATTATCAACAACAGTTGCTATCAAGTCAACTCTGACTTATAGCGAGCCTTTTCCAGGGTTTTCCAGGTAGGAAATACTCAGAAATGGTTCCCCATTCCCTTCTTCTGAGGATGCCCTGGGACAGTCCAGCTTGCCCAAGGCCACCCAGGCTGGCTTTACTTCATAGGGGAAACAGATGGGGAGTCAAAGTCCCAACCTCTGCCCCTGCAGCCAGATGCCTAAACCACGGGGCTATCCAGTCATCTCTAGAGAAAAAATGATGTGTTAGTATTATTATTATTGCAACTCTTTGGGTCAATGTCAGCAAAATAAGCATATATTTCTCCAATGTTCTTTTTATTTTAAGTAATAACAAGGGAGGTTTGCTGTGTTTTTTCTTTCTTTCTTTTTTAATTGACAAAATTTCTCCAAGATTACGAGCGCATGCACCAAAGTAGTGAGGGCCCCCACATCAAGATAGGGCCGCAGACGGGCTATCCGCCAAAGGTGGAAAAAGGCGGTACGGACCACCGACACCACCTGTGTTTCCATGGTGAGTGTCGGGTCCAGATGTACCCCCAGGCTGCAAACCCCATTCTTGGCGGCAAGGACCACCCCCCCCAAATGAGAGTCACCCATGCCACCAATAGTGGGGGCACCCACCCTCAGAACTTCCGTCTTGTCCGGGTTCAGCCTCAGCCCATTCTCCTGCATCCATTCCAGTACGGTCCCCAGGCAGCGCTGAAGGGACAGGACGGCATCACCTGCAGTTGGAAGACAGGTGATGTAGAGCTGCGTGTCATCCATGTACTGATGACACAAAGCCCCACACCCCCTGATGACCCCGCCCAGTGGCCTCATATAGATGTTGAATAGCATTGGGCAGATAATCGACCCCTGTGGAACCCCACAATTGAGACTCCACGGGGCCGAGACACTCTCCCCAAGCTGTACTCTCTGGGGATGGTCCTCCAAGAAGGAACAGAGCCAAGCAAGCACCAGGCCACCAATTCCCAAGTCAAAGAGCCTCCCCAGGAGGATACCGTGGTCAACCGTATCAAAGGCCGCTGAGATGTCAAGGAAGACCAACAGAGATGTTTTCCCCCTGTCAGCCTCCCTCAACAGGTCATCGTACAGGGCAACCAATGCCATCTCTGTACCGTGGCACGGCCTGAAGCCTGAATGAAATGGATCCAGGGCATCCGTTTCCTCCAAGAGAGCCTGAAGCTGGTCGGCCACCACCCTCTCCACCACTTTTCTCAGGAAAGAAACATTGGCGACAGGCCTATAATTGCCAATTTTGTCCGCCGCCAAACTAGGTTTCTTTCTTATGGGCCTAATGAGTGTCTCCTTGAGGGCAGGTTTCTTTCAAGGAAAGACCCATTTATTATTGCAGTGGCCCATTGTGTTGTTATTGGCCTGGCTGCTTTGATTAGCCAGGCCGGGCAAGGGTCCAAGGAGGAGGTGGTGGCTCGGCAGCGGTCAAGCACCCTGGCCACAGAATCAGGCGTGACAGGCTGAAAGGAGTCAAGGGTTACCGGGCAAGATGGAGCGCTGGACATCTCTGCTCGACTCACTGTGTTCAAAAAAGGAGAGAGGTCCCGGTGGATGGCCTCCACTTTAGATTTTAAAAAGGCTGCAAACTGGTCAGGCGAAAAACTAGGGGGAGACCCATCGCTCAGACCAGTTCCGGATAGGTCGCGTACTATACGGAATAGCTCCGCCTGCTGGTTGGACGCTTCGCTTATCCGGTTAGCGAAGTAAGATCGACAAGCAGCCCTTACCTTAGACAGGTAAAGGTTAGTTGCGACCTTAACAGCTATCCAATTATAATCCGTCGGGCACTTCCTCCACCTATGCTCTAGCCTTCTCCTGTGTTGCTTCATCACTCAAAGCTCCTGGTTAAACCGCGGCGCCGGGCGAGTTCTGCGCCAGAGAGGGCATTTGGGCGCGATCGTGTCTACGGCCCTGGTCGCAGCAGTAGACCAGCTGTTAACCAGAGCGTCAACAGGAGTGCTAGCCAGGTCAGCTGTAACACCTCTCATGGCATCCTGGAATCCAACCGGATCCAGTAGCCTTTGAGGGCGGACCATGGAAATAGGTCCCTGCTCCCTGTGAGGGGGGAGAGCCATGGAGACGTTAAATTTTACCAGGTGGTGATCTGACCATAACAAGGGGAGTGACACGACCACACTCGCTCCAATTGGTGGAAAAGACCAGGTCCAACGTATGGCCACCCATGTGGGTGGGGCCGTTGACATGTTGGGACATGTTCAAGGAAGCCATGGTTTCCAGGAACTCAAGAGCTGGCCCAGTAACCTCTGACCCCGCATGCACGTTGAAATCACCCAAGACCAAAAGCCTCGGGGATCCCAACAGTGCCGTGGAGACAAAGTCGGTCAGCTCCAGAAGGGAAGTGTCTGGGTTACAGAGAGCACGATAACACAGCAAAATCCCAATTCCATCCCTGGCCCCTTAAAGAGGAAGTTTCACTTACGGTATATTGTAGTCCCACCTTCTCTAATTCTTTCTTAGTTTTCTTCCCAGATCAAGTCAAAGTCCTCCAACCTAGGCTCCACCCAGATAAACTCACTGAACTATTTGTTGAATAAACACATGCATAAATCTCACTGATTCAATAGGATTACTTTAATTGGGACAAGATATTGGATTTATTTATTTACTTTATTTTATTTATAGGTTGCTATTTTCTCCATAGGAGACTCAAGAGGGCTGACATAGTTGATTAAAACCACACAATAATCACCATTAAAAACCCTGTAAGATACAGCACCAAAAAACTATTGAACATGTTATGTTAAAAATTGCCATAAAAACTCTTTTTAAAACAGTTTTTAAAATCTCTAAATTAAATGTATAGCTTAAAAGCCTGCTGATAAAAGAAGGGCAAGAGCGGGCCGGGGCAACCTGGCTTCTTGGGGCAGTAGCTTTGATTCTATCCTCAAGATCAAGCTTGTGAGGGTGGTGAGGCTGAGAGAAGGGCCTCCCAAGGAGATCCTAAAAGCTAAAGAAACTCATGTGGGGGTAATAAGCCCCTCAGACATCCTGGACCAAGCCATATACGGCTATATAGGTCATAACCAGCACTTTGAATTGGGCTGTGGAAACAGACTGGCAAGCAGTGAAGCTGCTGTAATAGGAGAGTTACACAGTACGCTCCCTATAACCAGTGACAGTCAGCAGTCCAGGTGAAGCATTTTCAGAACGCTCTTCAAAGACTGCCCCACCTAGAATGTATTGTAGTAATCCAGACAGGAAGTAACAAAGGCATGTATCACCTGCACAGCAAAATCAGACAATTCAACTGTCTTAGGCCACTGAGTTTGGTTTATTAGACTCCTTAATGGAATTTGTTAAATTCAATTCAAGCTATCGGATTTAAGCTACTGGCTCAATAGAAGGTTGACATGGCCAGAACATAGGGGAGAGCTTCTTCATTGGTGTATGTTGATAACACTTATTCTCTGATTTTGTTTCTAGCTTTTGGAAAATAGGAGAGCTAAAGAAAGGTGCCGGCAACAACTGCGGTATCATGCACCCCCATGGGACATGGGGTTCTGATGTGTGTTCCCTTCCTTATCGCTGGATTTGTAAAAAGAAGCTGATTTGCTGAAACATTTCTTGGGCCACCTGCTCCTGGAGCAAGATTGTACATAAACTGGTTTGCTTTCTCCCACCTCCCTGCAACCTTGCCATGAACCACAGTTCCCTGGCAATTTGAGAGAAAAATTATGTATTTTATCACCGAGGAACAGTCCTGAGGTATTTTGAACTGTGAAGCATAATCCACTTGAGCTTATGAGAAAGCTCACCAGCCAGTTGTGTGACATGCAAAGCAATCATTTATGCAGCTACTCCACTTTCCCAGCACAGGAGACTATACAACTGTCCCCAGAAAACACACAGATGTGTGAGAGAAAACACTTTACTGGCACAGACTGACTGGATACATGGCTTAAGTGCACCTGAACTTCCAAGTAAGCACGAAGGGAAGATGGTGCTGGTGCTACCGGAAGGATCTCCCCCCCGCCCCCAAGCAGTTTTAGTAGGTCAGTTGTTTTCAGGAAAAAGAGATGGCTGACAGGGCAACCATGGCTGAACCCTAGGATGCAAAAATTAGAAGGCATAGCCATGGCAATTGCCTTGTCTTCTGCTGATCCTCCCCAGAAGAGTCAAACTAAAGGCAGGCAGGCCTGCAGTCCTGGGTCATCCACATGCAGTGAGAAGCAAACCGCTGTGTGGGATCACCCCATTGAGCCATGGCCAGCACCACCACTAACCTGCCCCCACCCCATTGTAACCCCCTGGGAGTAGGAAAAAGAAAGGAAAAACAAACCTCCAGCAATGTAGGCCACTGGAGGGAAAGGAAAAGGCAGCTGCTGCACTTCCTGATTGCTGGTTTCAAGGTGGGGGTGGGGGTGTTTCCTGAAAAGCAGGTTTGAGGGGAAGGGCAGTTTCCAAGTTGACCTGTTCAGAGCACAAGTCAGCTCAGAAATGATCCTTCCTTCTCAGACCTCAGCTTGAGACAGCAATCAAAGGACAATGAGGTGCTCAGGAGGTTGGTGAGTGGGATGCTGCCTGGTGTCCAGTTGCAATGGCATAACTGCCAGGTCAACAACTTGTGGCCAAATACAGTCTCTGTTTTGGGACCATGTATAAATATTTGCCAAGTAAGGTAAAGGTAAAGGTTCCCCTTGACTTTTAGTTAGCCGTGTCTGACTCTAGGGGGCGGTACTCATCCCTGTTTCCAAGCCACAGAGCCAGCGTTTGTCCGAAGACAGTTTCTGTGATCACGTGGCCAGCACGACTAGACACATAACGCCGTTACCTTCCCACCGAGGTGGTCCATATTTATCTACTTGCATTTTTACATGCTTTCGAACTGCTAGGTTGGCAGGAGCTGGGACAAGCGACGGGAGCTCACTCCATCGCGTGGAGTCGATCTTATGACTGCTGGTCTTCTGACCCTGCAGCACACAAAGGCTTCTGCTGGTCTTCCAACCCGCAGCACCACCACGTAGTCCCACTCATTTCTGAGAAATTGAACTTGTCCACAAAAGTTAACATCAAAATACAGCAGTTAGTCTTTAAGGCAGCACAACGTTTTTGTCTTCTTTATTCCCCCCCCCCCTTTGGTTTTGCTTGATATGCTAGCACAAAGTAACACACCTCTTCTAAAACTGTTGCATGGAAAACTTGGGCTGCACAGCTGCCTATATTTAGCTTGTCAGTTCTGAAAGGGATCAGCAGAGGACAGGGCAGTCACCAGAGCCATGGCTTTTAAATTTGGAGTTGGTCTTTTTTTTTGTGGCCTCAGGTACTAATATAACTAGTTATGACTCTGATGGGTAGGGTGGGAAGGCTAACACCAACCTTTCTCTATAAACATGGCCCTGATCCTGTTCCCTGCCTGCCCATCTTAAATTGATGCACACATTCAACATACTGGTCAGAATCCTGTTGGCTGTGTACTCTGGTATAAGTGGAGTTGTGCAAATCTCAATGGCAAACTGCCACTAGTTAATGAGTCTGCTTCTATTTCTCATAATTCTCTAAGCCACATGACATGTGACAAGGAAAACAGGCAATGAGTCATTAAGTAGCAGCAATTCAACGATGAGAATTACACCATTGCACTTATGCCAGGGCAAACAACCAATAGGATTCTGGCTGTTGTCTAGTTTGACTCTTCCCTTTGGGAGGAGTATGGCAGAGCTTAAAATCCCACTGCTACAGAAAAGTGAGCTTTCTACTACAGCATAAAGCCAGGTATTGTGTATGTATATTTGTTCCCATGTTGGGAAAAGTCAGCAGATATACTGTACTATAGGGAGAAACAAAAAATGAAAGGGGCCTCTGCTATGCCAGGTGCTTTATGCTCATAGTCATTTCAAAATCTGGCATACAATTAGTAGATGTTCTTTTTTTAAGGTGATGCAAACAGAAGCAGTAATTACGCTTGAGAAAGAGAGGGTGAATAATTTTGCTAGGCTAAGCATGTGCAACAATTTTGCTGCTGCACAAAAAGCAGTGCAGTCATGAGAGATCAGCTACTGCTAATGCTTTTACGAGAGAAGAAGCAATGTTACTTTTGAAAACTGCTTTGTTTAACTTTCTGCATAATTCCAAAAGGGAGATATGTCACCTACTTGGATTTTCTTATCATACAGTTTGTTTAACTTGATTTTGCTTATAAGTGCATGTGTTTTCAAACTAAGCTCATTCCGAATGGCATAACTGAGTAGTTTGTTGTTCATAATGTTGTACTGGATTTTTAGAAATTCTGATTAGTTACCTTTCATTAAAAAAGTAGCTTTGTAATAATCTACGCCTGACTTTGAGAAATAATACTCTTATTTAAAGAAAGCCCATGCTAAAACTTATCAAGTACAAAGCAATCTCATCTGTCCATAGGATTCAGAAAAGGGTCCTGCTTCATTCCAAAGTAAGAGTACACATGGAGTAATTGGGATTTACTTCTAAGTTGACAGCATGTAACATTGTGTTTGTTGGTAGTCATGAACAGATAACACATTTGGCTGACCCAGTGACAGGATTACATGGGTGTGCCACCCAATTTATCTTCTAAGGCTTTCGGAACATGGTGCTGAAAGGGTATGGGGCTTACTAAGATTCACATCCAAACTACAGTATTGTCTAGAATAAAGTGTTTTACTGCTTCAGCACAAACAGCCTTCCAGTGCTTTGCTTCTGAGTAGGCTTACTTGGTCACTATTCTTTGCCCTGTGCAGATGCCTGCAGCTAAACTTTCTCCCTTTATTCCATTTCCATGGCTTGACTGAACACACTCCCTGCATGACGAGCCACCTCTCTCAGCTCACTTTCCAGCTTTGTCACAGGGGGGCAGGGGGACAATGTCTCTGGCTCCAGAGTAGCTATTGCAAATGTCCTTTCTGCCTTTTTCTGTCTTAAAATACTGTCTGTCTTTGTCCAATCCTTCCATTGCAAAGATGGTATGGAGGAAAGGAGAGAGGTTTTTAAATGCACTTTGTTGGTTGATGCATTAGCACTACATACTAGGAAATACTGTAACACTGAAACATCACCCAGTATGAGGCCGTACAAAATAGAAATCCAGAGTTTGAGGAATGGCAAAAAGGTGTGACAGCTCATGGGAAAGGTGGAAGCAGTATAATGTAAAATAACAGGAACATTGTCCAGATATTGGAAGACACCTGCCCCCCCACATGAACCTTCCCTGGCCTTCAGTTAACCAGAGGGACGCAGCTCATGCGGCCATTGCAATGATTTTATATTCTGGTATTTTTAATACTTCCAGTGGTTGATTTTCAGTTTTAACTAATACAGTATATGAACATGCCGGTTTCACCAATTAGCAAAAGGCTCTACCTTTCTCTTTTTGTTTTCTGGGTGCTGCATATTCACTCTTCCTCCATCTCTTGGTTTAAAAGGCAGCCTCCTTTAAAGGTGGAATCCAGATGGGCATTACTGTACACTGTGCTTTGCAGTATTGTACCAGATGGGTGGTTTTGAATTACTTCCAGGCATGTACATAACACACAGCTTATTTTTGTTTTTTTCCACTGTCATTGTTCATGCTTTCCTGACTTTTTTTCCCAGGTTGCAAAGAAGCTGGCATGCAAAAGTTTCTCAGGATAATGTGATTGGCAGTCCCATACGTGTACAATCAAACCAATTTATTTTGCTGTGGGGGTATGTGTGTCATCCTCAGGTGTTGTTATGATGTATGAAGTGACAACACGGCTGTTGATGTTTTCCATCTTTTTAACCCCTCCTACTCCCCCATCTCATTTTCCCAATTCTTTCCAAGTCCTTGAAGCTGGATATCTGATGATTATTGACATAATGCCGCACCAGACATTTCTACCCAGTATATCAATAATATTAAGAAGTGCTACATGGTACATCCTCTTGCAAGAGAAAGGACAGGCTTACATTCAGGGACACAGGATGGGCACATTAACCATTATTCTCTGTTAATGTTGATAGTTTTGGATCCACTGAGCTTTAGCCTTTAACTTTTTGTCTTGACCCTTGAATGTATCTGTGGAAATGGGCAGCTGTCTTTCAGGCTGTGATTTAGTGGTGGTGCCACAGCAGAAGACTGGTGATGGGAGGGATTTAATTGCTAATATATCTAAGAATGTGCATGTTTTTTAATTTCTTACACAAATCCCACTTTCCCACAATTATTGGTCTGTGCTTCCCACTTTTTTTTTTGCATCATGTTCATTTTTTTTCAATTAAGCGTTTGGCACTTTCTGTTTCTTGTCATCATGGCTTTAAAGTTGCAAGGGACCAACGAGTCTGTGTTTGTTTGTTTTTTTTTTAAAGAGAGTTCTGTGGGAAATGTATGGAAGCTTTACCAGAAATGTACAGAAAGTATGGATGTGTGTAATATTGCTCCCTGAGGACATATACTTGAGTTTCCATTGCAATTTTCATACCTTCCCTTGTATCCTGTTCCCTCTGGCACAATGCCCTGCACAACACAACGAGGAAATGCCTATCAGACTAGGGCAAGGGAAAAAAGTTGGCCAGGTGCTGCAGCCAGAGTCCGCTAGGGGCAGGACAAGGGGTATATTTGCCAGCGGGGGTGGGGGTGGGGAGGGATGGTGGAATACTGCACTGTGGATTAGTGGTAGCATTAATTTACACAGATAAACAGAATGATCAGAAAAGTAGTTTTTGACAGAGATGCCGAAAATAATTAAATCAGCTCATATTTTGTTCTTTCCCACTGAATTAATGAAAATGGACCTTTGTCTTGATTAATCCTGATTTCATAAATTTCCAAAAGAAAGACTTCACTTGCATTATGGGCTTTGCACAATATTTTGACATGTCTTTTGAATAACAACAAAACAAGATGAACAAAAGAAAACCAAACAAACACAGCGACACATGCAGGTGAGCGCACACCCCCACCCTAATACCACAAAAATGTAGTAATACTGCCACCGAGTGGCTGGCTTTTTAAAAGCAAAAATTTCCAAATCTGATTAATTTAATCTGATTTGTATTAATTTAAAAGTGGACTCAGCTCGTTACACAGAGATGTCCCTTTGTTATGATGGTTCTGCAGATAGCTACATTGTGTTCCTTTACACATATTTATTTCATATAATGTTCGTTTTTCACTCCACCTACACCAACCGTTGATGGATGGGAAAATATGTTTTATTTCCTATGAGAGCACAACAATGTGTCCTCCTATCAGAATCTCCAGCGCAAGTTTGCTTGATCTTAGTACATATACTCTGCTACTATCATAATCTATTTCATTAGCCCATTCCCACAAGAAACTAGGCGTCATATATTGCAAACCACTGAACTGTCTAGCAGTTCTAAAACAAGGGATCTGTTCTGTATTTTTGAATTCCCCAATCTGTAAGGAGACAAGGAAGAGCCAGTTTAACCAACTCATCGCTGTTTGATGGTCCTCATATCTACACCCCAGTCTTACCTGCTTTGGTACAGTAGAAAGAACAATTTGCACCCATACCTAAAGGTGGCAGGTGTGACCTTGATTATACTAACTGGTTCAAGGATGATATGATTCCTAGAGAACAACCCAACAAGAGTGTTGTAAAGTTGAGAGCAGGAATGATTTCATGTGTAAGGTATTACACATGAAATCATTCCTGCTCTCAACTTTACAGTACATATAACAACTTTACAGTAGTTATAACAACTTTACAGTACGTAGAAGGCTGAGCAAC